GAATGTTTAAACCAGCCTTGGCTGATATTTGCCGTAGAGCATTTAAAGAATTATTTTAAGAAAATACCAAGGAGTTCATGAATTATGGGGGAAGCTTGGATTAAAGTAGATACTGATTCACAAACCAGATGTTCTAAGAATTGAATTTGTTTCATTTTTCATAAACATGAAATATTATTAGAAATAATTTGCTTTAATTATTACATTAGATGGTACAAAACATAAAGCATTGACTAATGGTCACTGAGCAGAGCATGTTCTGTTATCTTTGGAAAACGCTGCCTCACATCAGCATTGACTGAGACACACAGCATCTACTACTTCCAGGCATTTGCACGTGTGGCATATTTCCTAAAGACGTATTACCAAATGTCTGAGCCAGGTGCAGTGGCTCACACCTATAATCCCACCACACCACTTTGGGAGGCCGAGGCAGGAGAATCTCTTGAGGTCAGGAGTTTGAGACCAGCCTGGCCAGTGTGGTGAAATCTCATCTCTATTAAAAATATAAAATTTAGGCGGGCATGGTGGCAGGCAATGTAATCACAGCTACATAAACAGGTTGTGAAGTTTTATTATATAAATTGAGAAGAAAAATATTACTGGCTTTTTTTGAATTTTAAGGAAACATTTCTGTTTCATGAGACTTTTGTTTTTTTTTTCTTTCCTGAAACGGAGTCTTGCTCTGTCATCCAGGCTGGAGTGCAGTGGCATGATCTCGGCTCACTGCAACCTCCACCTCCCAGGTTCAAGCAGTTCTTCTGCCTCAACCTCCCAAGTAGCTGGAATTACAGGTGCCCACCACCACACCTGGCTAATTTTTGTATTTTTAGTAGAGACGGGGTTTCACCATGTTGGCCAGGTTGGTCTTGAACCGACCTCGTGATCTGCCTGCCTCGGCCTCCCAAAGTGCTGGTATTACAGGCTTGAGCCACCATGCCCAGCTGAGACTCATTTTTAGAATACTGATTTAAACACATAGAAATGCTTTATCATTTACCACTTTAACAGGCTAGTGGAAAATTAGTAAAGAGCAATAAGTAGTTAGAATTCATGATTCTTTCCAGTTATTTTTTCTAATGCTATCAAATACCAATGCTCATTTTGAATACCATTAGTCAATACAGTGCAAACAAGAAGGTAGAAAAATCACCCTAAACCTTGTTATCTGTAATATGTACAGGTGACATTTTGATGAACATCCTTTTAGTCATTCTCCCATGAATTAGTGGGAGATGACACTGTTCAGGCACTTTTGTAACCTACTTGTCATTCAGTATTACATCGTGAACATCTTCACAGGTCAACAGATATTTCCCTAATAATAATCGTTCTAAGATATTTCCTAAAAGAGGTGCCATCAGCCCATTTCAAGAGGAATATATATGTATTGCTTTCAGTTCTCTATAAAAATGTAAAGCCAAATTGCCCTATTATTTTTACCCGAGTAAAATCGTTCACTCAGTTGGGAGATTGGTATAAGGAGAGTCTGGCAGCCTCTGTGGGGGAATGTATGGCCACTTTGCCAGGAAGGTGGAAGTAGTGTGCTATTCTGTGCTATTCCTTCTTTACTTGGGGCAGAGAACAGAGCCTTGTTGGATGATAATGTGGTTATGAATTCTAAGGGCTTTAATTCATCAGACTTTGCTTGGTTGAAGCTGTCAGCTGGGCAGTCCTGTTAGACATGAGCTATCCAGTATTGCAGCAATCAGGGACGTGAGGTTAGTCTTCATTGACATGTGCTGTAAGTATAAAATGTACACCAGATTTCAAAGACTTGGTACAAAAAAAAATGTAAATGAATTCATTTTTCTTTTTTTTTCTATTAATTACATGTTGAAATGCTAATATTTTTGCTATGTCTAGTTAAACGTATTAAAATTAATTGCATTAGTGTCTTGTTAGCTTTTTTTATGTGGCTTATAGAAAATGTTAATTTATATGGCCCACATTATGTTTCTATTGTACAGTGCTATATTAGACGTTAAACAAAAGGAAAGTTTCTTATTACAGATAAGAGAGAAGTACATTCATCAAAGAGTCAGAACAGTGACATTTGTTTAATCTCTCTAAATATACCTGACACTATGGCCTGTCACACATGCCCAGATATGTATATACACACGGACATTTCTGTACACTTATAAGGAAAAAATAAATGCTGCCTATGGGAAAATGGCTATGCTGGGTGTTTTTCCCCCATTGATTCTTCATAATAATATCTTTGTCATTATTTGTAATGAGTGCAGTTAGTACACAGTGTTATACTATTGGATTTAACCAGTGGCTGTCTTAAAAATGCCCGTGTTATGTTGAGCTTTCACTATCCTAAGCAAACTTCAATGGCTTTCCATTTAGTGCTGACGGGGCCCTTGGTGTGAGTATCAGTGCACCAGGAGGAGCCATTGCTTCTGTTCCTAACTGGACATTGAGAGGGACGCAGCTAATGAATGGAACATCTATGTCTTCCCCCAATGCATGTGGAGGCATTGCCCTGATCCTTTCAGGTAAGCATGTTCCTTATTGTCCTTACATTATTGCAGACAGATATTTTTGTTTTCTGAAGCTCTCATGGTAAGAACATGTGGTAGAATTGATAATTCCCTTGGCACAAAGTAGAATTTAAGGTAACAAATAACTTATGTGATAATGACAATTTGAATGTGTATTTATTCATTCAGTAGTATATTTGTTAACGACTATCAAGCAGTATTTTAGCTCCGGGGCTAAATTAGTGAACAAAGCATCAAAACTACCTGCTTATGTGGAGTTTATATCATATATATTATGGTTGGGATAAACAGACTTTGAACAAAATAAAAAACTGTAGATGTTGCGTGTTAGAAGTTAATGGATACTGTGAGCAAAATGAGGTAGAAAGAGAAGGAGGGGTTTCTAGAGTGGTGCCCAGGATTAAATAGAGTGACACTGGGTTTAGCCAGGACTCACATTTAGGGTAGCCAGGCTGCTATGAAACTCCCTCCACAGAAATGTCCCTCTTTAAGTTGTCTCTCCTCTGCCTCCTTTCTTCACCCCTTTTCTGACCCACACCACAGTTTCTTCTGCTGACCACATCTCCTCAGCATGGCCTGTCCACACTGGTGCTACCAGCATAAACCTGTGATGATATACCACTGTCAAGTGCTACCATCCTTTTCTAGGTTGAGCCCACACTCTTAGGATGGATCCTAACATGACCCTCTTTCTAGTTCTCTTCAGCCTCACCAGATATTTCAAGGCCTCTTGGCCTCCGTCTTTGGGTGTACTCCTTTCTGCCATGTTGTGGCCTTGAACACTCCTATACGTTCTCTAAGAGGCGGCTCATATGTCAGTTCCTCTGATGGAGCTTCACCTTTTTTAGATTCTCACAAAACTGGTCATTTCCTTGATTTGCTGTTATAACTTCATAGTGTTTCCATGCTTGCGTTGTGTCTGACAGTATCATCAATGTATATATGTTTGCTGAGCTCTGGAGAGGACAAGAATGATACAGCACTCATCTTACGAATTGGTGGCCTCCATATTCTTCCCATAAAACAGTAATTCCCAACCTGGCTGTACCCTAGAATCATCTGAGAGGTGTTTAATAAATAGCAATCTCTGGGACAGTCCTCAGAGATTCTGATTTTATTGGTCTGTCTTGAGACCTCAGCATCTTTTTTGCTTGAGTTCCCCTGGGGCTTATAACGCCAACAGCCATCTTGTTTAGTTTAACCCAGCAGTGTTTCAAAGAAAATGTCATTCACATGCCTTTCGGTGTCTGCTTTGTACATTTATATTATGGTACAAAACCTACACCAGAGTCTCTGCCCACCACATAATGAGAACACGTGATTTTTGTGGAATAAAACCTTCATATGACGCAAGCAGTTTGAGTCAGATTGTTTAGTTCAGGTCTTCAAAAAAGATTTTAAAATGAGTGTTAAAACACAAGACATTAAAACCAGAGAGTCTACAGGTGATCATACTGTTGGGCGGCTAAGGTTTCAGATAGTGAGTGCTACACTACTTGTTTTTGTTTCTTAATTTTAGGTCTGAAAGCTAATAACATTGACTACACAGTTCATTCAGTCAGAAGAGCTCTAGAAAACACTGCAGTGAAGGCTGACAATATAGAAGTATTTGCTCAAGGACATGGTATTATTCAGGTATTGTTGCCTATATGAAAAATGGGTTGTAAAGTATCATTAAGATAATATCTTAGGTATTATTGGGTAATATTTCATTTTATAACAGCGATTCAGTGTATCTGAATTATAGATTATATGGCCATATAACTCTAAGCAAAAAGGATACACAAACAAATTTTGTAGTTAAGACAAATCTATTGCACTGAGATCAGGAAATGTAGTAGATGGAGGCCATGTAGAGGTTAGAAATTCAAAGCAAAGAAATCGAGGTCAAAAACTGTCCAATCATAATGGCATAGGGATTAGTTCCTAAATTTGGTCACTTGAGAATAACAGTGTGAATAGGGTGGAGTGGAAGATGTGACTGGTATTGTTTCTAAAAGTGTAGAATTATCCTCTTAGTTGGGGTACCAGGTAGTTTTGAGAAGTGAATATAAACACTATTTGTTTTACAACTGAAATCAAATTGATTGGTAATTTGCAACAAAATATTTTTTGACCCAACTGTTTATATCTTACCATGTATATTCTTTTCACTAGGTTGATAAAGCCTATGACTACCTCGTTCAGAATACATCATTTGCTAATAAACTAGGTTTTACTGTTACTGTTGGAAATAACCGTGGCATCTACCTCCGAGATCCTGTTCAGGTGGCTGCACCTTCAGATCATGGCGTTGGCATTGAACCTGTATTTCCAGAGAACACAGGTCAGTAATAGGCTGGCAGTAAGCTGAAGTATTCACATTGCTATTTGAATGAGTGGTATCATAATAAAGAATTGCTGTTTGGGCCAGTGTTATGAAGAGAATACATGAATTGCCAGTATGATTATTTTAAATCTTATAGTCATAAGAGAAAATATTAGAGCAATTTGGGGTCCTTGTACAATGGCAATTTAGTTAGCATCTTAAACTACCAAAGAAAACAGTAGAATGAGCCTCAGTGACCCACAGCTTTATTAAATTGTGGATGATAAAACATCAAATTCCTTTTCCACTTTACCTGTTTAGGTATAAGAGAGAGCTTTCAGTTGAAGAATGAGAAGTAGAAGCACTCTAGGAGAATTGCAGCTTGATTAGGTGTGAAAAAAAATAGTCATCACTATTATCTGGCTGTCTTCATTTCAGTTGAATACTATTACCTGTGTGCAGTAATGAAAACATTCACTTAAACTCTTTATTTTAAGGTCATACCAGTGCTTGGTGAAAGTATAAATGAATCATGAATAATCTAAATTGTAAGGAAGATTGTTTGACTGTTTTATTTAAGCTGTGTTTTGGATGCATTTTACCGCCAACCAAACTAAGTTGCTAAATTTATTTGGGAAGATGCAACATTTTTAAAAAGAAAAAAATACTCATCTTTAATTTTTGGTCTTTTTCGTGCCAGAAAACTCTGAAAAAATATCCCTTCAGCTTCATTTAGCTCTGACTTCAAATTCATCTTGGGTTCAGTGTCCTAGCCATTTGGAACTCATGAATCAGTGTAGACACATAAACATACGTGTGGATCCCAGGGGCTTAAGAGAAGGATTGCATTATACAGAGGTATTGATGCATCTTCAATTTTACTTTCTTCACTCTTTAAAATGTTTAAAAGGTTAAAAAAAAATCCAAAGTATATTTGCAATGTATTGCTTTCTTGCTAAGAAATAGCTAGACCTATCCACCTGCCAGGTTATGCAGTTCTTCTGGTGTGTCTGTATTCATTTAAGCAGTGAAGTTTCTAAAGAATATCTTTTGTCCTTGTATGAATAAGTAGAAAGAAAGAAGAGGTACAGCAGAACCTTTCAATTAGGTCTTCCTCTAACTGGTCTTTTGTCAGCTGCACAAAGCTGCAGTTACTTCTTCTTCTTCTTGTTTTTTGTTGTTGTGGTTTTAAGAGACAGAGTCTTGCTCTGTTGCCCAAGCTGGAGTACAGTGGTGTGATTGTAGTTCATTGCAGCCTTGAACTCTTGGGCTCAAGGGATACTCCCACCTTAGCCTCCTGAGTAGCTAGGACTAGTGGCGTGCACCACCAAGCCTGGCTAAATTTTTTTATTTTTGTAGAGATGGGATCTCTCTATGTTGCCCAGGCTTGTCTTGAACTCTTGGCCTCAAGTGATCCTCCTGCCTTGGCCTCCCAGAGCATTGGGATTACAGGTGTGAACCACCACACCCAGCTAGTTATACCTTTTAGTACTCAGATGAAGAAAGCATCTGTTAAACAAATAGTTGTAAACCAGGCATAGAATAGTATCACAACAGTGTCTCCACATCTAAAGTTATCTATAGTACTAGTTTGAGCTAATTTTCAGTTGGGAGTAATTAAAACGCACTTACTTTGTACTTGACGTCTCATTTTCCCATTTGAACTAGTCAGATATTGCTATACATTTGTTTGGACTGTTTGCTATTAATTATGTGACCTAGTGTCAGGAAACTGGTGTCAGCCTGCAGTTAAGACCTTGACATATTAAGAGTAGATTGATTTATTCTGTCAATAGTTTAGACCTCTTCCCCCCCTTTTAAACGTTTGTTTATGGATACTGAAACTTACCAATTCTTTTTTCAAGGTATGTGGCTATGATATAGCATCCCCTAACGCAGGTCCGCTCTTCCGAGTTCCCATCACTGCAGTTATAGCAGCCAAGTAAGTAACAGGTTACTCACAGCTTACTGTTACTTCTAAGATTTTAATGGCTATTCATGGAGTCTTGTGAACTTTTAAGGGATCACTAATACAGAACTGGGTAGTGGGGATTTTGTCTTAGTTCTGCTCCCAGCTAGCATTTTTAGGTGTCATGTAGTCAGCCATGCTGTCTCTTGTGCACTCTGAGAGTAACTGACGGCACCTGGCATCTCCCCTGCCTCTACATCAAAACTGTTTCCACCAGAGTCACTCTGAGCTCTGTATTGCCCAGTTCAGAGGCTAACTCAGCCTTCATCTGATCTGATCCCACAGCAATATTTGACAATATTACTTCATTCGCCTCCATTCCTGCCCTTTTTGTCTCCCTCATGTTTGGGATTTACTCTCTTCTCTTAATGCTCCCACTTTTCTAGTTATCTACTGTAGAAACAGAAGTTAAGAAAGTCTTAACTTTCCATCTTATTCCCCAGGAACCAAGGAAAAAATCAGCAGATTATATTACTTCCTGCTTAAAATATATCAGTGGCACCTCCAAGGATCAAGTTCAAGCTCCTTAAAATAGCACACAATCTCCCTCACAGTTATAGCTGTAGACAGTGTTTCCTGCCTTTCCGTACACCAAATTACACATTTTGGCCAATTCACTGATTTTGGCACTCCAGGTTTCTCAGGATTTGTGCATGTACACAGCTAATAACTTGGTTTCAGTTTCCTGTCTCTTCAGTTAATGACCAAGTGCATTCCTGGTCATCCCTGGGTGAAGGGAGTCCCTTCTTTCTGCTTCGTGGCACATTTTACATGCCCCTGAACAGACTTCAGCCAATATTTTGTAATTTTTTATTTAACTTACACTATTTGACTGTGAGCCCACTGAAGGCACAGGGACTACTGTTATACAGGATGTATGAAATAAATTATCTAGTGGATGAAGGTGAGATTGAGATTGTGAGAGTACTGGAAGCCAAGTGGAAATTCTAAACTTTAATAGTTCTGTTAGTTACTCTGGTAAATATTAAGTATGCAACAGATACCTGCCCATGAGAAACAGGACGAAATTGAGGAGAATAAATTGAAAAAGTGGTGTACACATGGGAAAATTGTGCAGCAGTTAAATTCTCAGCCGTATATTCCCTCAAAATCCAGTAGTAATTTAGACAAGGTAATATGTAAGACCTTCAGGAGTCAGCTGCCACGCAATCTCCTTCAGGAAGCTTCCCAGGCTCCCTAACTATTCCTGTCTATCTGGAGCATCTTATGTTAAATGTCTCTGATGATGATTCTCTCCATGCTAGACTGTCTAGGGTAAAGAATCATATTTTCTTCTTTGTTACCTTTTCTAGCTCCTAATAACAGGGCCTCGTATGTCGTAGGCACTCACTTAACTGTCCTACTGACAAGAATTTGTCTCTAGCATAAAATTTGTTTCCATGGTGGGTAGTTATGAATTTAAACTTTGTTTCATTGATTTCTTACAAAAATGCTTTGAAAGTAGTTTGCCTTTTCTTTACTATTTTACATCATGGGAGTGTTTTGAAGCTACAGGAGGAGCTTAATTTAACATTAGTCTCATAGCTATAATATCAGTGACATAAAACTTTGTCACTGATTTTAATTTCTAGGACTCACTGTAGTTTAGAATCTGGTAATTGGAAAATTCTGTGAATGTTGTAGAATGCCTTTAACAAAAAAGAGAATGCTTTTTTAATAGTGTGTGTGAATGTATCTTAAAAATCATAAAATAGACAAAAAATAGAATCATCTGTACTCTGCTATTCAGAGGTTGTCTCTGCTAACCTACTGCAGAAATTGAATAATATTGTACATACTGTTTTGTAACCAGCGTCTAAGTCCCTGTGTTTATTTCTAATGAATTGGATAAATTTTGCGTTTATCCAATAAAATCCAGAGTATCTGTGGTCTTATAATAAATATATACATTTAATTATTTTTATTAATTTTCAGAGTAAATGAATCATCACATTACGATCTAGCCTTTACAGATGTACACTTTAAACCTGGCCAAATTCGAAGGCATTTTATTGAGGTTCCTGAGGGTGCAACATGGGCTGGTAGGTAAAATTAAAATCCACGTGACCACTTATCTCTGTTTACATTCTAATGACTATAGCTATATGAGGTTCATTTATCTGTAACATGTATTTCCCTGGTACTAATGGTACTAATATATATATATTTGGGCACCTTAGACTTTCTGTAAAGTTCAAAACGTTTTTAAGATCTAGTAATATTTTGCATTGGCCCATACAGCAAATTAAGGCATCTTAAGATGTTTTTAGTATTTAAGGTTTGAGCTTAGTTTAGAATAATGCCTTATCTGGTAGTAATTTTTTTTTTTTTTTTTTGAGATGGAGTCTCACTCTGTTGCCAGGCTGGAGTGCAGTGGCATGATCTTGGCTCACTGCGACCTCTACCTCCCTGGTTCAAACGATTCTTCTTCCTCAGCCTCCCAAGTAGCTTGGACTAATAGGCGTGCGCCACCACGCCCGGCTAATTTTTGTGTTTTTAGTAGAGACGAGGTTTCAGCATGTTGGCCAGGGTGGTCTCGATCTCTTCACCTCATGAGACACCCGCCTCGTCCTCCCAAAGTGCTGGGATTACAGGCATGAGCCACTGCGCCCGGCCTAATTTTTAAAATACTACAGATCAGTTTAAACAATGCAGCGTTGCTTAAACCTCAAACTGTTAAACTCTTACAATTTTAGAAATAGAGCTTTTAAATCTTTGAAGCTCTGTTTATGAGAGATTTTCACTTCAGTGTCTCCGAAATTTTGAGAGTAAATGATTGCCTAACACAAAGCTCTTGAATTAACATGTTATAGTCCTGTGAGAGTGCTCATGTCATTCTTTTATGCAAGAGCTGTGGGTATACCATATTTTCCTTCACAAGTTATATGTCCTAAATTTACAATTTAACAGTCAGTATGGAGGGGTGTGTCAATTGTCAGAGCTCACTCACATTGGTAGAAGGAAGCAAATATGGGCAGTCAAGCAAGTGTCACCCAATTTAAATTAGTAGCCAGCATTGTTGATACTTCTTGGATTTGGCCTCTCTGCTAAGCACTTTACAGAGATTATCTTGTCTAGTCCCATCAGAACCCTATAAGGTAGATAGGTGTCATTAGTAAAAATGGTTTGTATTTTACTCCAGAGTGTGTTTTTTGTACTTGTATGAAAGTACAAATATATTTACATCTGAGACTTGATTGAAAATGCAATATTGATACCACACATGTATGACCTGGTTTGGGAATAACTGGTTGTATTTGGTTCCCCATACCATCTTGTGGTCATCTATCTGTATGCAGTCCATCTGTTTGTTACCTGGTATCACAGGAAATACAAGACTTTCCTTGTTTTATGTAACTAGGTAAGGGCAAAATAATAGCAATAGCTGAGAGCTAAAGCAATGAATTGAACAGTACTAATATTGCCTGTTAATTTGCATACTGGGTTATAATGGAGCTATTGCAGCATTGAGAGGCTTCTAAGGATAATCAGGGGTTGTACTAGACTCATTCATTAAGCATATTTTTCTGTACCATCTGTGTGCCAGGCCCTTTTCAACGGGCTAAGGTGGTGAGCTACTTAGACAAGGACCCTGCTTCCAGAGGCCTTAAAAGCATCTAGTCCAAGACATTGTAGTTAAGAGAACTGGATTAGAGGGAGACAGCACAGAGTAGCGGCAAGGCCATGGGCTTTGGAAA